CGCGGTTCAAGTCCTGGACCCGGTGGCTTAAACTCACGCCCGGCGCGTGTGCGTACGTGCCCAAGATCCCGAGAGAAGGGATTGCGGCGTGGCCATCCCCCCTGGGGGGTGATTTCTCGCTTTCTGTCTCTCTGTCTGTCTCTGTCTCTGTCTGGCGAGTGCACTGCACCCTATAGCAAAAACCTCTCCAAAAAAAAAAAGGAAAAAAAAAAGACCCCCTTCCACCTGCCACTGATCTTGCAGCAGGTGACTGGGGAGCTAGGAGCACACCAATAGTGCAGAACAAAGCCTACAGTGGTACATGTCCAGGGAGGGGCTGGGCTCAGGACCCTCCTCTCATCTCTCTCAGGACCCTCGGGATGGGGAGGAGGGGTCCTGCTTCTGCCATCTCAGAGGACCTTTGCGGAAGCTGTGGTTACACCAAGGGCAGTGCATGCAGGGGCAGCAGGTCCCTCAGCCAAGGTCACTCCTAAGGGACAGCTTCCCACATAGGTTGGGCCAGTTCCCTCATCTGTAAATAAGTAGACCTTTTTTCTTTTTTTAGGGATTTTTGTGAACCGGCAGGAGGCATGGTGGTTAAGGGGGCTGGGCTCCCACATGGCCGATCGCAGTTCAAGTCCCAGACATGGTGACTTGCTTTCTCACCTCTCTCTCTGTCCCTCTCTGATCAAATTAAAATAAATAAGGTTACATAAAATACTTCTTAAAAAATTTTTTTATTTTGTTAAAGTGTGTGGAAAGAATCCCCCCATGGGGGGGGGACTCCTCTTGAGATTTTGGGCATGCACGCGAGCGTGCGCGCACACACGTACACGTGCTCAGCATTAGTTTAAGTCACAGAGTCCGGGACTCGAACCACGGTCATCACCAGGGTCATCTAACAAGGGAGTCCAGCGACGTAACCATTATGCCATCTGCTGGTGCCAGTAAATGTACCTTTTAAGAGTTAAGTTGAATACGGCGTCGCCAGAACCTCTCATCTCTTAACGCACATAACAGAGGTGGCCAACTTTCCAAATTAGCTCGCCTCTTCTTTCAGGCACTTCAGGTGCGAATTTCGGCTCCGCGGTGCACTTTCTCAGTCTGCAGCACTGGAAGAAGAGGTGGGCGCCTCATCGAATGGGAAGAGGGGTGCCCGGGGGCTGGGCGAGTTCCCAGCACCGCGGGGTCCCAGCGCCGCAGCGCCCCAGGCTCCTCGGTGCAGGCGGGAGCCGGACAGGGACATGCGTAGAGCCCGCGCGGGCGACCGGGCCGCACTGCGCATGCGCACGCGCTTCCCAGGTAGCCCCGCCTCCGGCCGGAAGTGCGCCGCGCCGGCAAGATGGCGCCTGCGGCGGGCGGTTTGCGTCCTCTCGGCCGCCCGTGGCGCGTGCTGCTCTTTCTGTCACAGTTCTACGTTCTCCTGGGCGGCGGTGAGTGAAAGCCCGGGTCCGTGCCGCCTCGGGCAGGGGGCCCCAGCGGGTGCGAGAAGCTTCCGGGGCGCGGCCCGCGGAGGTTGATGGGGCCCGAGACGGGCGCGCCCTGGACGTCCCTCCGCGCAGCCCGGGGAAGCAGCTGGATCCGAACCCACCCGAGCTTGGTTACCCGTAGGCCCCAGTCGGTGTGGACCGTGTTGCCGGTTCGCCCTGTAGTTGGGTGTTTTCCACGCAGTCAGCCGGGCAGTCATTGGCCGGGCGTAGACTGTGCGTTTATTACCCGGACTATGGTTTTCGGATCCCGGGAGAGCAGGTCTCGGATTGTAGGATCCCCGCTGGCCCAGGCCGTGGAGGCTCGGGACTAACACGTACGTGCACGTTAGTTCCCAAGGCAGCAGGGACTAGGCCTTTCTTTCTTTCTTTCTTTTGGAGAGATTTTTGCTGTTTGCTGGCTCCTTAAATTTGTTTGTTTGTTTGTTTGTTTGTGGCATTTTACATTCAGTCACTGTACGTCTTTACAGAGCACAAAGTGAATTTTCCAGGCATGAATACACAGTATTTTTTCTTTTGGAGAGATTTTTGCTATAGGGCGCGTGCGCTCTCCAGACAGACAGAGACAGAGAGACAGAAAGCGAGAAATCACCCCCCAGGGGGGATGGCCACGCCGCAATCCCTTCTCCTCCATTCTCCTCTCGGGATCTTGGGCACACACGCACATGCACCCGGCGTGAGTTTAAGCCACCGGGTCCAGGACGCGAACCGCGGTTGACTACGTGGGAGTCCAGCGACATACCCATTACGCTAACTGCTGGCTCCCAATACACTGTCTTTGAATCTGGGCACAGACACTACCATTCACATTAAAACAGATCATCCCTATTCTTGGACCTGTGTATAAACTGTATATTTACACCTCGCAGTGCGTTTCCTTGTTGATAAAGTGGCTTTTAGTGTGCAAAGTCAAGTTCCATTTTTGGACATTTGGTGTATGATTTTGTAGTATTCTAGAGTATGTGAATGAGGGGCAGGTACACAGCGGTGTTGGTAGACAGTTTTAGTTTTGGAATACCTTTGAATGTTCCTGCCTTATCTGTTTTTCCAGTCCCATGTGCCTCATTTCTATTCCCCCCCCCCATTTCATTCATTAAGGAACCTTCAGAGACCAGCAGAAGGCATTATGGTTACGTTGCTGAACTTCCATGTAGTTGACCGTGGTTCGAGTCCCAGACCCGGCAGCTTAAAACTCACGCTGTGTGCATGCCCAAAATCCCAAGAGGAGAATGGAAGAGAAGGGATGGTGGCATGGCCATCCCTCTGGGGGTGATTTCTGGCCTTCTGTCTCTCTGTCAAGCATATGTGCCCTAGAGCAAAAATCTCTCTTTAAAAAAAAAGAAAGCTTGAGAACAGCAGTTGGCATAATGGCTATGTTGCTGGATTCCCATGTAGTCGACCACAGTTCGAGTCCCAGACCCGGTGGCTTAAACTCACGCCGGCCGCATGTGCATGTGTGTGCATGCCCAAGATCCCAAGAGGAGAATGGAGGAGAAGGGATTGCAGCATGGCCATCCCCCCTGGGGGGTGATTTCTCGTTTTCTGTCTCTCTGTCTCTCTCTGTCTTTCTGGCAAGCACACACGCCCTATAGCAAAAACCTCTCCAAAAAACAATCAAACAACAGAAGTGGGGAGATTGGATTCTGGTTGCAGTTTTGCCAGACTCCTGTGATTTTTACACAGACCCAACGATCTCTAAGCTTTAGTTTCTCATCTTATAAAATCGTACATTTTTTTTTTTTGAGTCCCTGATGCGTACCCAGCATTTTCTGTACAGGATTTATACATCAGTACCTTTGGGGTGAAGTAACTCTTCCTGAGGATGGCGCTCACCAGGTCACACACTGGCCGGTGGCATAGCCCTGCTTTCATTGCAGGTGTCCCTGAGGGCAGCTCCGGCTCTTTCAGTTCCCCGCAGTCTCATCAATGCGCTCATCTTTTAGCCTTCCAAGCTTGTTCTCCTCTGACCCGCTGATAACAGAATCACTTCTCGTACACCTTTCCCAGAAAGTACCGAAATCCCACCCTACGTGATGAAGTGTCCGAGCAACGGTTTATGTAGTAGACTTCCCGCAGACTGCGTAGACTGTGCTACCAATTTCTCCTGTGTCTATGGGAAGCCCGTCACTTTCGACTGTACGGTGAAACCTTCCGTTACCTGTGTTGTAAGTATTACGGTTTACTCATTGTAAATTTACTCCGGACCTTGAGCATAGCCGGAAGCCCTGTGCAGAGGGGGCTGGATTCCACATGACCAACCATGGTCCGTATCAAGCCAGTTGATGCCAGCTGGAAGTGTGCTTGATAGAAGGTTGCTTTGTGGGGTTTGGAGAAAAGCTCAGTCTACTGGTGTATCTGAGGCAGGGGCGGTTCCTTCAGGTGGATTCTGTAGTCTCAGTAACGACAGCTAGTGCACAGAAGGGGTGGTGATGTCTTTTTACCCTAGATGGATATATATATATATATATATATATATATCTATATATAGATAGATAGGTAGATAGATATATGAGGTTTTGGTCTTAGGGTGTGTGTGATTGCTCAAGGGAGAGAAAGAGACGGAGAGAAGGAAAGTGAGAAATCACCCTCCGAGGGAGATGGCCACAACGCAGTCCATTCTCCTGGGACTTTGGGCACGCATGCACACAAACTCAGCATGATTTTCAAGCCACCATGTCCGAGACTCAAACCATGGTCAGCCATGTATTAGTCCAGCAATGTAACCACTAGACTACCTGCTGGCCCCTCGAGTAGCTTTTGAAGGGGTCATTACTTCTCAGTGGTGAGAAGATAAATGTATTAAATGCTCCAATACCTAGGTAATTTCTGGAAAAAATTAAGTGGCATCCCTGTTTCATCAAACCAAACTCCAGATAGACCAAAGATGTATGAAAAATAAAACCATGAAGTACCACAAAAAACGGAGATAGCTGGCTGCGATCTCAAAGTAGGGAATGTTTTTCTAAGTATGGAATAAAATTTAGAAGCCATAGGGCCAGCAGGTGGCATGATGGTTAAGGTGCTGGACACTCCCACATGGCTGACCATGGTTCGAGTCCCAGACCTGGTGGCTTGAGTTTTTAGTTTCTCTCTCTCTCTGTGTGTGTGTGTGTGTGTGTGTCTGGTCAAATTAAAATAAATGAATGAATAAGTAAAATTAAATCATTTTTAAAAAATTTAGAAACCAGGGAACCAGCAGTTAGCGTAATGGCTATGTCGCTGGACTCCCACGTAGTCGACCGCGGTTCGTGTCCCGGACCCGGTGGCTTAAAACTCACGCCGGGCGCGTGTGCGTGCATGCCCAAGATCCCGAGAGGAGAATGGAGGAGAAGGGATTGCGGCGTGGCCATCCCCCCTGGGGGGTGATTTCTCGCTTTCTGTCTCTATGTCTCTCTCTGTCTGTCTGGCGAGCGCATGCGCCCTACAGTGAAAATCTCTCCAAAAAAAAAAAAATTTAGAAACCATAAAAAAATTAACAGTGGGCCGGTACTGTGGTGATAAACGCTGCAGGATCCCACATTGTTGACCATGTGGTTCAAGTCCGATATGGTCACTATGCTGGAATGCATGCCCAAAATCCCAAAAGGAGGGAAAGATGGACAAGGGATTGTGGCATGGTCATTCTGCATATGGGACGATTTTGCATTTTCCCTCTCTCTAACTTTGGATAACACGCATTAAACAACTAAAATAATAAATTTGTACATGACCTAAAAAAGCATAAGGGCAAAAGACAAAACGAAAAACTAGGAAAAATTATTTCCAACATACACTACTGTCAATAAAATGAAGATTTCCTAAGAGCTAGTGATAAAAAGATAACCTTACAGAAAATAGAAAAATGCTATTAGGGCACGATCAACTATTTCTTAGAAAAGAAGTACAAATAGGCTCTTAACGTATTAAAAAACATAATTTTTCTTATAATTACAGAAATGCAAATTAATATTTTAAATCAGATTGGGCCAAATTTTACTTTTTTACTGTAGTGCACATACACTCACCAGGGAGATACTGAAAGAGGGGAAGTGAGACATCACTCCCCGGGGGGGTTGCCCCGATGCAGTCACGTCTTATTCTTCTCTTGGGATTTTGGGCATGCATGCACACCTTTCCGTTGTGATTTTCAAGCCTCTGGGTCCCAAACTCAGACCATGTAGTTGGCCGTGGGATCCAACACCTTTACCCCAACACTGCCTGCTGACCCCCAAGAAATGTTTTTAAAAACTTGATTACTCTCTGAGTTTGTGAAGTACAGGGACTAATACTCATATTTTATTAGTGGGTTGACCCATCGGTCAGCCTCTTGTTGGCACTTTGTCGTATCTGTCAAACTTATAAATGCACATCATCTTTGACCCAGCCATTCCATATCTAAGCATGCGGTGCTGGACTCCCACATGACCGACTGTGGTTTGAGTCCCAGACCTGGCAGCTTGAAAGTCATTAAATGTGTGTGTGCGTATGCCCAGATCCCAAGGGGAGAATGGAGAGGCTTGCTGCGTGTCATTCCCCTGGTGGGAGTCCTTTCTCACCTTCCCTACGTCTGTTTCTCTCTAGCATGTGCGAGGCGTATGGCAACACCTTAACAAAATAAAAAGCGGTTGTCTCTGGAGCAGTTATGGGTGATTTTGTGTCATTTCCAGTGGTGGGACATACAAAGAACATGTGGTTCTTTTATAAGCAGAAAAGAAACTGAAGATTTTTTTTTTCAGAAATATGTATTTCATTTAGCTGGTTGAAATTATTTTTTAAATTTGACCAGGGAGAGACAAAAAGATAGAGAAAGGGAAAATGAGAAAGCAAGCTACCTGATCTGGTCCGGGACTTGAACTGTAGTCGGCCATGTGGGAGTCCAGCACCTTAACCACCACGCCACCTGCCAGCCCCGAAATTAATGACTTTTAAAACTGACGTGAAAAAGATCTCTAGGCTCAGAAGCTGAGGACAGCCATGACTACTTGCTGAGTTTGTACATTTCTCGTGGCTCTTCTAAGCTGGATTGACTGTTGGTTGATCATACCAGGTGCTTGTGGAGGTGGGAGCTGTGGTAACAGCTCTGAGAGGCTGGACTGCGAGAGATGTTAGAAGGGATCGGTCCAGAGGAACCAGCAGATGGCATAGTGGTTACGTGGCTGGACCCCCACAGAGTCTACTGCAGTTCAAATCGTGGACCCAGCAGCTTAAAACTCAGTGCCCATGTGTGTGTGCATGTCCAAAATCCCAAGTCTACTGCAGTTCAAATCATGGTCACAGCAGCTTAAAACTCAATGCCCATGTGTGTGTGCATGTCCAAAATCCCAAGAGGAGAATCAAGGAGAAGGGTTTGTAGTGTGGCCACCCCCCCAGAGGGTGGTTTCTCCCTTTTTGTCTCTCTGTGTGTCTCTGGTCAAATTAAAATAAATAAAGTTAAATAAAATAATTCTTTTTAAAAAAGCAGAAATCTCTCTCAAAACAAAAAGAATGGATCCGTCAGAGATGTTAGGATAGTTCAGAAGATGTCAGGGGCAATTTGGACCTAGGAAGCAAGGCAGTGTGTGAGGCTTGCAGAAAGACGTATCAGGTGGACATTGGGAGCTGGCCTCTCCTAATTTTTTTTTTAAAGATTGATTTATTTAATTTTATTTATTCATTCATTCATTTTAATTTGACCAGAGGGAGACACAGAGAGAGAGATAAAGAGAGAGAGGGTAAGTGAGAAAGCAAACCGCCAGGCCTGGGACTCGAACCATGGCCGGCCATGTGGGAGTATCCAGTACCTTAACCACCACGCCACCTGCTGGTCCCGGCCTCTCATCATTTTACAGCTCATTGACCTTGAAAGTACACGCTTATCTGCTTCTTCCAGCTATTGGTATCCGTGGCCTATATAATATTTTTCTCTCTTCTGTATTATAAAAGTGCACATGCTTATTTTGAAAAATTTAGGTAAGCAAAACTGAGGAAATGATTTTATTACTCTGAAATACCTTTGCTATTTTTATTTATTTTTATGTTTTTGCCATAGCGTGCATGTACTCTCCAGAGAGAAATAGAGAGAGGGAAAGTGAAAACTCACCCTTGGGAGGATGGCCACACTGCAGTCCCTTCTCCTCCCTGCTCCTCTTGAGATTTTGGGAACACATGGACCCAACGTGATTTCAGTCTGCCAGGTTCAGGACTCAGACTGTGGTTGGCCACATGGGAGTCCAGCGCCTTAACCACCATGCAATCTGCTCGCCCTACCTTCGCTATTTTCATATGAACGTATCTAGATTTTTTTTGCCCTTAGGTGTTTACATCTGGGTGTATATTTTATGCTTATTAGAGTCATGCACTGTACATTAGTTTTGCATATGTCTTGTTCTGGTTCCTGCGTTTCTGCCACTCACTTCTCCTAGGTCTTAAATACGAGTGTTTTAGAAATTCCGTGCCGTATGGTTGTAGCCTTGCTGGCATAACCTGCCATGTTACAGTGGCTTCGTTCTGTGTCCTTTGGTACCCAGGACCAAGACTCCAAGTATCAGAAGAACTTCGTCATCAACATGACTTGCAGGTTTTGCTGGCAGCTTCCCGAAACGGATTACGAGTGCACCAACTCCACCAACTGCATGACAGTGTCCTGTCCCCGGCAGCGGTACCCGGCCAACTGCACAGTGCGCGACCACGTGCACTGCCTGGGTGAGTCGGAGCGCCAGGGTCGTACTGAGCCGCGTGTTTCCTCTGAAAAAAAAAAGGACTTCAGACATTCGAGAAGTAAATGTAACTTATTTCATCAGAAATATTAATATTTATCAGCAGCTTTTTAAATGTGCCAGGCCTCATTGATAAACTGTGAACTAAAAACATCCAGAAAATGTGCACTTCTCTTATCTTTTAAAATGTCATATTTAGGGCCAGCCCATAGCCTGGTGGTTAAGGTGGCTAAATCCCACGTGACTGACTGCTTGGTTGGAATCTCAGATCCAGTGGATCGAAAAACACTGGGTTTGTGTGCGAGGGTGCCCGAGATCCCAAAAGGAGAGAGAAGTGGAGGAGGGATTGCAGCATGACCACTCCCTATGGAAGGGCCTTTCTAACCTTTTCTTTCTCTCTCTGTCTCTCTCCCCCTCTGGCAAGCACACATACCCTCTGGCAAATTAAAATAAAAATGAGAGAAACGTAATATTTAATCATATAAGAGGGCCCAGCAGACGGTATTTATGTTACTGGACTCTCACATGGCCAACTGCATTTCGTTTTCCAGACCCAGTGGCTTGAAACTAATGCCGGGCGTGTGTGTGCTTCCTCAAGATCCCAGGAGGAGAGTGAGAGAGAAGGGATTGCGGCATGGCCATATCCCCCCTGACGTTATTTCTTTCTTTTTCCTCTCACTGTCTCTGTCTCTCCCCGTCTCTCTTCAGCAAGCATATGCTTGAGCACCCTAAGGCAAAAACCTCTTTGAAAAAAGAGAAAACTATGTAAGGTGTAAAGCTTATATACAGTAATTAAATTTCACCCAAATGAGCAACTAAAACAGGAGTTCCCAGAGTGCTTCGCTTCCATCTAAGTGCCCTCGATCTTCAGAGGTAACCTACCCCTTAGACTCTTCTATCATCTCCTTTTTTTTTTTTTTAAGAATTATTTTATTTAACTTTATTTATTTTTAATTTGACCAGAGAGGGACAGAGGAAGAAAGAAAAAAAAAAAAAAAGCCACTAGGTCTGGGACTTGAACCACAGTCAGCCATGTGGGAGTCCAGTGCCCTTAACCACCACACCACCTGCCGGCCCCGTCATCTCACTTTCTGTTCTTAATTTTTTCTAGTTCTATCATGTATCAATATATGTATTAAAATATAATATGACTTATTATTAAATAGTGTACATTTTAGAACTGAATAAAGTGGTGTCAGACTGGTTTTTTAGAAATTTCAACATTAGGCTCTAAGATTTATCCATGCTACTTATTTATTTTTTAAAATTTGTATATCATCATTTGTAAGATTGTATCACAGTATAGTCTCCTGAACATTTGGATTATTTACTGTTTTTATTTGTTATTGCAGCTGATAGTAAAATTTCCATACATGCCTCCTGGCTACACATACATAGGAGTTTGTATAGCATATATTCTCAATTTTTCAAATAACTTTTATTAATTTACATTCCCATCAGTAGTGCATTACTATTCTTGATGATCCAGAGCAGAGCCTCTACAATACCTATTTTTTTTTAAGTTTGTTTTTTTTTATTTGGAGAGGTTGTTGCTATAGGGCGCCTGCCCTCACCAGACAGGCGCATGCACTCACCAGACAGAGAGACAGACAGAAAGCGAGAAATCACCCCCCAGGGGGGATGGCCACGCTGCAATCCCTTCTCTATTCTCCTCTCGGGATCTTGGGCATGCACGCAAACGCGCCTGGCATGAGATTTAAGCCACCAGGTCCGGGACGCAAACCGCGGTCGACTACATGGGAGTCCAGTGACATAGCCATTACACTATCTGCTGGTCCCAATACCTGTTATTTTTAAATTTTATCTTTTTCTTAAAGATTTTTAGGACTCTCTTAGATTTTAGATACTCACCTTCCCTGTTCCTGAAACCCTCTCCCAAATTTTGACTCCACCCCACTTTCAGTACGGTATCGTTTGGTGAACAGATCTTCAAAAACACGATTAGTTCCAGTTATTAGTCTTTCATAGTCACCCTCCTTTTATTGTTGTTTAAAATTTTATTTCCTACAAGTTTATAAAGGTAATTTCCTATGGTTTCTTTTAAAAGCTCTAAGTTGGCCTTTCACATTTACGTCTATAATTTACCTGGAATTGATTTCAGGGTGGTGTGAGGTAGATTCAGCTTTACCTTTTTCCCACCTCCGTATTGTGTCAGGACTCTTCCCTGCTGATCTGTGTGACCTCTGTCTTACATGACCTGTTTTATGTCCACCTCGACTCTCTTTCTGTTGGGTCATTTATCTTTCTCTGTACTACACTGTTTTACTTACTTTTCCAAAATGTTCGTTTATTTATTTATGATAGAGAATAGAAGGAAAAAAGAGTTTAGTAAGATCTTGCCACGGCAGGATCTTCCTGTCCCAGCCTCCCAGTTAGCTAGGACCAGGTACACAGCGCCATGCTCTGCCCATTTGAGCTGGAAACCGAACCCAGGCCTCCCACGTGGCCTCAGCTGCCAGAGCAACGGCATCTGAGGAATGTGAGCCACCGCTGCTGAGCCTTCTCACTTACTCAACCTCTCCGTAAGTCTTGAGAGCTGTGATGCCAGCTTGGTTGGTTTACATATGAAATCAGCGTGTATAGTTAGTAATGAGCACTTGGTATTACTGTAGTAAACATCTATTACCGTAGGGAAA